GTAGCTACAAACGTGAGAAGAGGGAAAGAGCAGTGGATGTTTTTGTTTTTACTCGTGTGCATTTATGTTTGAGGTGTTTACATGAAGAATTGAGTATCTCAGCACTTCATGTTTTCTTCGATCCCACACTATAGTGGCCCCAAAGAGATATTTATTAAATGTAAAGTGAATCCTCATTTGTAACCCACTGTACTTTTCTAATGTGGTGCATTTCCAAGTGAAACTAGATATTCCGAGGGCAAGACTTCATTTTATCCATTAAGACTTGATTGGAGAGTCAGAATGGAGTCGGACCAAATGTGAGTTTGCTAAAACACTGAAAAAGAACAAACTTTATTTTATTCAAAGTGTATTTTTATATTGGTCTAATAGAAAATCATGGTTTCTGGTTTAAACCTGTTCTGGTTGTCTAAAAGCAAATAAAACTCCCAACAGAAAATAATTAAAATCAACAATTTTGTTTAAATAGTATTTTCTAGTTGTAGATGATGTGTAGAATACCTATGGGCTAGCTTTACTGACTGCAGAAATGATTGCGGGTTTTATTAATTATTGGGGATTCTTTAGTACTTGCAGAAAATATGATAAATATTTTAAATTAAAAAGACATCAGAATAAACATTAATGACTTTCACACTTTACGTAAGTAAACTAAATTAATTAAACACTAAACAGACTAACAAATGTTTTAGTGTCATTTTAAGTAAAAAATCTACTTGCATATTATAGCTAATAATTTTTATGGCGAAGTTAAGTTGTAAAAAATGACTTATGTCCAAAGAAAATATGATTAAGTATGGTCTTTATAATAAATCTGTTTATTTTTGTATGCACGTTTTTGTCTTTGGGAAAATAAATATTTTCAATTCATATTAAATCAAAATGTAAGGTTTCAACAAAAACAAAAAATATAATTTTAGAAAAACAAATAAAATTGTCTGTAATAAATTACAGTATTTTTTAAGTTGGTCCAAAGTATAATTTTTTCAGAGTAAATAGCTAAAATTATAGCACTGCTCAAGTGACATTAGTGGAAAATAAAAGTCTTTTCAGAGAAAAATCAAACTGTTGCAGTGCCAGCCATTCACAGGCTCTGTTAAGAGTGTGCCAACTACTTCTGCACCTGCACACATATCCATTCAGAAAGCGAAAGGGCACATCTGAGAGTCAGAAACCCATGGAAGCTGCTTCTCTGTTCAGATGGATGTGAAGGCTGTTCCTTTATCAGATGTTTTGACTAAAATAATGTTAAGGTCACGTTTAGTTTCTTTGTCAAGGTGGCCAGAACCAAATGTTTTTCTCATCTCCCACCACTTTTAATCACAAAACGACAGTAATCCAGTGAGCTTTTATTTTTAAAGTAAACATGGATTCAAATTTGACTCTGTTCCCTTTCATAATGCACATTCTTGGTGTTATTGTGAACAATTAACATTATAGTTATGCTACACTCTTAAAAATGCTGGGTTGTTTTCAAAATTTAACCCAACGGATGGGTTAGTCCACATTTGACCCAAAGTTGGGTTGAAACAACCCTGCATTTTTTAGAGTGTATAAGTTGCTCAACGCTCAATTTTCATTCTCAACTGAGGTCACCAAGATCAGGTTCAAAGTGAAAATTTTGTTGTCATTTACTTCCATTCTATGGATGAAAATCTCTTCCTTTGTGTTCCTTTATAGAAAGAAAGTCATACAGGTTTGGAACAACATGAGGTTGAGTAAATGGCAATGATAAAATTATCATCTTTTGGTGAACTATCCCTTTAAACAGCAGTTGATCACATGAGCAGTTCCTCAAGGGTTCACAGATCTGCTAAATAGCTTCCCAGTCATGGGCAGGTGTTGGAGGCAGTGAGAGTTTGGCTGAATGGAGCATCTGAAGCCACTGCGTTACGTGATGTGAAGGAAGGCTGTGGGAGTCGAAAGTGTCCGGTCAGGGTGGGAGGCCAGGGGACTCCTGGATACAGGAAGTCTGTGAACGCTTTTAGGATGGAGCTGTCAGCTGATCCCTCAAGGGAAGGGAAGAGGATGCTGGCAGGTGCGTGAGTGTGTTTGTGTAGCATATCATCTGGACTGTAGCAATGACGTCGAGAAGGTCTGTTTTTGAGATAATAAAGCCTTCGCTTTTGAGCGAAAGTGCAGCTGTGAACTTTGCACTGAGCCATGCAAATTGATGTGTGTGTGTGTGTGTGTGCACAGATCAACTCAGGAACAGCTCTGTTATGTCTCAACACCAGTACCGTTGAACTTGATTTGCCTTGCCAAATACCTTTGAGAATAGGATGTGAGACGTGCGCGCTTTTGGACAAGCACGCTGTGTACTGAAAGTGGGCCTTTCTCTCAGACAGACACTATGGGATGGACCTGTGGGTCTGAGCCAAATGGTACACAGGGAATTTTCTTTCTTTCTTTTCTTTTTTTTTGCAATATCATTTCCTGACTACAGCCCTTTAGACCGAGGATTCAGATGGCTAACCTTCCTTTCCTCTTAACTCTCACCTGGTTTGGCCACCATTCAATCTGTCAGTGTCCCACCCAATGGGACAAACTGTGAAAACTCCAATTTGAAAGAAGTAAAACAACTTGTCATTTAGGCACTGGTGCTTTTTATAGTGCTGATTTGATTGAAGAAAATGCATAAATAAATATGTCATATATCAAATAGAATTTAATTTGAAGCAGGGTTATGATCGTTATCGTTAATATCATTATTATCATAACTACAACTAAAACTAAAACCAATATTATATATATATATATATATATATATATATATATACACATGCAATATTATACAATATTATATAATATATATATACTGTATATTATTTGAAATAAACATTTAGCCTACTGAAATAAAATATAAAAAAAACGTTATTTTATTTCAGCTAGTTGCCAGGGAATATCTCTCATTTTTATTTAAAGCTGAAGTACTACAATAATCAATTACTAAATACTAAAACTAAATACACTAAAACTAAAAACTAACATTTAAAAACTACTTAAAGAAAACTAATAAAAAAAATGTAAATGCAACAAAATTACTAAAAATGTAACTGCAATTAAAATGAAAACAAAATATAAAAAATAACATCTAATTCAAAATATTAACAAAATCTATAATAGTGATACTAAAATAACACTGGTTTGAAGAACTTAAAAATCTTCAAATCTTTGTACTTTACTCATATTTGAAGTCTCAAAAGAACTGACGTGCCTCTTTGCAATGAACTCTCATGTAAGAGGCTGCTTGTTTTGAAGGTTTTCAGGTGTGTGTGTGTGTGTGTGTGTGTTTGTGTGGTAATAGGAGGGCAGGTTATTGCCGGCCTCTCCCATTCTCTCCTGTAATAATGGTGTTTAGGAAACATAAGCAGACAGGAAAGGCAGATACAGAGTGGAAGAATGGAGGGATATCCCTTTACCAGGTTCCCTCCTTTTCCCTTTGGACGTGGCTGGATGGAGAGATGGAGTGCTGTTCTTCTGGGCTGCTCCTATTTCTTATTTCACACACACAAATTTATATTTGATGTACAAAAACACTAGGCCTATGACATAATTCATCTCTTTTAAAAGCTTGTGTAATTGACAGACAGTTTTCATTTGTTTTGCTTTTTTAAAGATATTTGATGTTTGGTTCCATTATTGGTTCTTGCATTCTTCCACCATTGCGAATTAAATACTCTGATGGATTTTGCTGCAATGCTTATTCAAAGGTACCACAAGTCTGTAGTCCAATTCCCTAAGAAATTACCCTGATGAGACTGTTCTTTTTAGTGAATCAAAAACATACTGCGCAACCAGTGTAGTCTGATTCTTGAACAAATGACTAATGAGCCAGTTTGTTTTAGTGAATAAAAACACACACAGCAGCACAACCAGTATAGTTTGATTCCTGAACAAATGACATGCACAAATCTAATGAGCCATTTTTTAGTGAATCAAAAACAACACAAGTGTAGTCCAATTCCCAAATGAATGACTCTAATGAACCAGTTCTTTTTAGTGAATCAAAAACATAAAAATGCTTTTATATATACATAAATATAAATATATACAACTTACAACTGTGACAATCAGTGTAGAATCAGTGTGACTGGTCGTTTATAAGACAGCATGTATCTAAAGATTCACATTATGTACTTAGTAGTATTTTACAAATATTAATGAATGAAATAGGTAACCATTTTTGTTTGTTTGGTATTGTTGTTCATGCAAACAGATCTTTTGCAAGATTAAAAAAAATGTATTTCATATTGAAATCATCTCATTATTTGGCAATGAATATGCATCCCCCCCCCAAATATTGAAAGAATCATTAGAGGAACAGTTAAGGAAACAGAATCATTAAGTGGAACACTGTAAATACCAGAATCGTTTAGTGCTTTACGTTTCCCATCCCTAGTTATCATAATCAGTCAGATATTCCCTTATATCCACTGGCCCCTTGAACTCTGTAAGTAGAGCCTTTGGCCCTTCTAGCCTGTGTAACCTACTGGCCCTCATACCGACAGAGTTCAATCTCATCAGATCTGGCTGTGAGATTGGGGGAAATCTTAGCTAAGCTGGTTGTGTTAAGGCCCAGGCAGGCTGAGCTTTATAGCTTAAGACGCCATTTTAATTACACTTGGCTGGAGAGGAAAGTTAACACTGCTAAGTAATTGTGTTCAAGGTCACCAAGCGAGTGAGCACTTCTTGATGGATCAGAGTCATTCAGTTTAGGAAGTATTCTATTTGTGGTCTTTGAAGTTCTGTCTCTTGTGAATATGGTGCAATTATTTTGCATTTTCACTGAGTAAGCAGCACATACTTTTTCCTTTAATGGGCCCGCCTTTGTGTTTCTGATTAGTTTGCCCCCTTGTGGCCATTTTTATATGTGCGATTAAAATCTATATGAGGACAAATTTGTCTGAAGTGTTTTTGAAAATATTGACTATCGACACTCAAAATGTTCTCATTTCATATTTATTTCTTTATTTAACATTCATTTGTCTTGTTGTCAGGTGCCACCAGGGATATCGGCTCCGCTTTGACACGGATGTGCATGCGACACCGCAGCATCGAGGCCAAACTACGCCACTTCACCAAGTGAGTGATCGACCCTTCCATGGCGTGATTACTTTCATGCCTTGCTCCCCGCCAGTCAGACGGCACAGACAGGATTTTATGTCTGTGCCAGGCATTGATTTTCCACTGTGGAGATAAGCAAACATTCATGGATCAATCAGCCTGCTCTAAGGCTTTAATGTGTTGTCTTCAGAGAGACCAAATTAGCTCACCGCTCACAGATTTCAAATGCTGACCTTAAAGAAATAGTTTACCCCAAAAAAAAAACATTTTCTCATCTCATACTCACCCTCATTTCATTCCAAACTACTCATATGATTTTCTTTATTCTGTGGAACACAAAAGGAGAAAATCTTCACACTGCTCCCATATAGTTGTGTTTTAATTTTTATTTTTGTGGTACATACTGTATAAGTGTGTATACACCACTGGTCAAATATTTGAGTAATTTACATTTTTTATGTTTTTGAAAGAAGTCTCTTATGCTCATCAAGGCTGCATTTATTTAATAATGAAATAATAATAATGAAATACACTAAAACAGTAATGTTGTGAAATATTATTACAATTTAAAAGAACTGTTTTCTGTTTTAGTATATTTTAAAATGTGATTGTTTCTATGATGGCAAATCTGAATTTCAGCTGCCATTACTCTAGTCTTCAGTGTTATTCATCACTCCAAAATGCTGATAATGCTGAGACACTTTTTATTACCAATGTTGAAAACAGTTTTTGCTTGATACACTACCATTCAAATGCTGGGTTGAGTTATTTCTATTTCAAATAAATGCTGTTCTTTTGAACTTTCAATTCATCAAAGAATCCTGAAAAAATGTTTCACGGTTTCTGCAAAAATATTAAGCAGTAAAAACTATTTTCAGCACTGAAAATAAATAAAAACCATTATTAATAGTTTAGCACCAAATTATGCTTTGCCATAACAGAAATAAATTACATTTTAAACTATTAAACCGTCTTTCTAAATTGTAATATTATTTCACAATATTACAGTTTTTGCTGTATTTTTGATCAAATAAATGCAGCCTTGAGCATAAGAGATTTTTTGCTAAAAAAGTGTAATTATTCCAAAATGTGACCAGTAGTACAATCAAAATTCATATATATATTTCCAATATAAACATAGAGTTTCATTTTTTTTTGTTCTTCTTTAAATGATACTGTGATGTTGGGTGGCCATTTTAAATACTGGATTATTTCTATTGTTTCATTTTTGCCATTTTTAATTTATACTCAGTGCTCTAATGGAAAAAATGATCGCCCCACTCCAAGACAAGATAGAAGAGTGGAAGAAAACAGCTGCCCTGCTTGATAAAGACCATGCCAAAGGTGGGACTGACTCAGTTGTCGATATGCAAACCTGTTCATACTCACTGCACTACTATCGTCTGTGAATTTACACCTTCCTTCTGTTCACCAGAGTACAAGCGCTCTAGGCAGGAGATCAAGAAGAAATCATCTGACACAATAAAGCTGCAGAAGAAAGCCAGAAAAGGTTGGTCTTTTTATTCTCTCTGTCAGCACAATGATTTCCCCTCTCGCTGACACTCTCTCTGTGCATTATTTTCAGAGTATTACTGCATTTGGTATGTTAAATTATTCGTGAAATGTGTCGTGTCGTGCTGGGATCTTTTCTAACTCAACCCCCTCTCTTGCATGCTTACTTTTTCCGATGCCAAGATTAATTAGGTTAGGTTAAAAGGTCACGGTAACCCTATTAAATCAGATGAAGGTGATCAGTAATGTGTACCACCATCTAGTGGAGGATTGATTTTAAAGGGATAGTTCACCCAAAAATGAATATTCTGTTATTATTTACTCATTCTCATGTTGTTTCAAGCCTGTATGACTTCCTTTCTTCTGTGGAACATAAAAGAAGGTATTTTGAAGAATGTTGAGGGGGAAAATGTATAATGTATGACTCGCTTGCGATTTCATTCCTTTGCATTCCCTCACACCTTTGCAATTTCTTCATGGCAATGCTATTTTTCTCTCTGTCTTTCATACAATGATTGGCTTGGCTTCTGCTTATAAACTGTAGAACTACCAGGTATGTATTCAGGCAGTTCATGGTTCATTCCATCATAGTTCATCACATTTAGCATGACTAACATTGATTTCATTTCATCATGTGTTTTAATGAGAATGTTTTAGTGTCCTCTTCAAACACAAAATTCCATTGTTCACAAAGTGTGCTCATCTCATTGTCATTCTTTCCATCAGACATAATAAGCATCTTTGTTGTGAAATCACAGCGCACAATCATGCAATATTTGCAGTGTGTTTAGATTCATAGCATCAACTCTGTGTCATTTATTATTTTCATTATATGGTCATGAAGGTTTCCTTGCATGAAGCCTGACAATGCCTGGTTGCTGTGTTGACATTATCCACCCTAATCTGTCTTTGGTTGTGCTGACCCATGGGACATTTGTGTTGACATCTACATCAAACATTTCATGTGTTAAAATGCTAAAATATGCATTTTCAGTGCATCTCAGCATACACTACTGTTCAAAAGTTTGGGGTCTGTAACATTTATGAATGTTTTTAAAAGAATTAACTAATACTCACCAAGGCTTTATTTGATCACAAATACAGTAAAAACAGGAAAACTGCTATTTTAAAAACTGTTTCCCTTATTAACATATTTTAAAATGTAATTTATTCCTGTGATGGTAAAGCTGAATTTTCAGCAGTCATTACTCCAGTCTTCAGTGTCACATGATC